CCCCCCCCCCCCCCCCCCCCCCGCCCCATAGGCATGTATCTATTAACAAGCATTCCTTGTCTTTCATTTTTGAAAGAATTGTTAGACAATAATTATTCAGTTAAACATTTGATGAGCAAGCGCAAGGTCGGAAATTGTGAGGCATTGAAAGGCTTACTATATGTCTTTCTCCAATGAACTTGGATTATAGCAAAATGCACTGGGTACGAGTGTAACGTATCAAGTTAAAATATTCCCACTTGTATCAACTTTGTACATTCTAGAGCGTCGCTAAGAGCGAGTTGCTGGCAAAATTTGCATACACCTCTCACAGTTTTCAGAAACAGAGGCATTATGCTCCAAAAATATTGATATTATGCCAGCATTATGCCTGATGCTCCAGATATAGTATTATGCTCAAAATTATGCCGGCATAATCCGGCAGAATCTTACACTAAGGGAACAGAAAAATAGTTAAGAAGTTTACTACACAAATGATAATGGCAATTAAAAAATGAGTAGAAAGATTATTCTAAAATTCCTTAAAATCTAAAATTTATAAACATTTTATATTTAAAATTATGGAGTTAACCCTACTAAAGTACCATTCTAACCGATGTCAAGTTACTGCCTGCAACAATCGGACCAAGCAATTATTGTACCGATCGGAGTACCACAAGGCTCCACCCTTGGGCCTCTTTTGTTTACAGTATATATTAACGACTTTAATACCAGACCGTTTGGATTTCTGTGGCATTACTCTACAGGGTGTCCCAAAAGTTCGTTCCTCTAATTTCATGCACTATAACTTTTGATCAAAACTATATTTTACATGAAATTGCTAGAAGATGTTTATTTCTCTACCAAGTACATGTATTTAGAATTTCAGTATCTGGCATGCCCTTTTTGTTTTTTTTATCACATTCTGTAGCCGTTGCGGTATGAATTGGGATACAGCGTGTAGACTCCTAAATGATCCATTTTGAGCTTTTTTATCACCTGGGGCGCAGGATCCAGTTCAACCCCCAAACAAAAATTGTTTAGTTTGGGCAGCTGAAAAAAAATATATTTTGAGCATTCATCCAAAAAAGATAATCATCCCGGCCCCCTTTCA